TATAAAAGGGTCGGGTAAAAAAGGATCCGAGCCCCCGCTCCGACCAACGCTCTTTTAGCATCAACACCAACAACAATCACCCGTTTCTCAGTATTTACACAATTGCCATCACCTTCCATTAACGACTCATCCAAATCCACTATCTTCATTTCCACTAATAAACTGATCAAAACAGCTAAAGATCAAACCCTAAATTGATCAAATCGAAAACTTGCGGGGCAATTTGGTGATTATTGGAAATAGAGAAATCGAGAAGAGAGAGTTGTACGGACCATTGATCGTGTTTTTTGAGAAGAAAAAAAAGGATCAAAGAGCAGAAGCTAGTCAAAAGTGTGGAAAAGAAGAGCAGTGGAAAAGTTGATAATTGAGGCCTGGAATTAAGGATAATTACAGAAATAGACAAATTAGGATCTGTCACGTGAGTTGCATGTGACTAAGAAGAATTGACAAGTAGATAAGAGGAATAAAGTTAATTTTTAAGAGAATTAAGAATAATATCTTTAGGCCTCCTTTGTTTCTTTAAATATTAAGACGTCTTAATCTAAATACATATCTAAATGTGAAGATGTGTATTAAGATTAAGACATCTGAATCTGAATACACATTTTAATATTAAAATATAAATTAAGATCTGAATACTAAATGATTAACACTGTTTTTTTTTAACATCTGAATATATAAAATTTATCGTTATTTAAAAAATAATAAATATAAAATTTAAATAAAATACTAATTAATCTAATAGTGGTGATTCTAGGCTGTAGCTAGTGGCGATTGGTAACGATTGCAATTATAATTGAGGATGATGGTGGTGGATGGTGATAGTTAATAATGGTAGATAGCGGTGGTGGTTGTGGTTGTGATTGAGTAAGGTGATGGTGGGTGATGGTAGTTTATAATGGTAGACATTGCCGACTATGATTATTGACGGTGATAGGTTGGTTGGTTGTGGTAGTTGAGTTGGGTGGGTGTGTGGTTTATGGTTGAGGTTGATGATGGTTGAGGTTGATGGTGGTGGGGGTGGGGGTGATGNTGGCGGCAATTAATTATGAATGTGTATGATAGCATCTTAATGAAAATAGGTCTTTGCTATAGATCTTAATCATACAGACCTATTCAGACTCGTTAAGTGATTGTGAAGTAAAAAAAAAAAATACTTAATGATTGAGATCTTAATGGTTAAGACCCAGACTTTAAAAACAAACGCACTTAATGTCTGAGATCTGAATGATTAAGATTCAAACCTCCATTAAGTGCAAACAAATGAGGCCTTATTATCATGAGAAACTTGCGGCCATTCAAGTCAAAGTCTTGGAACACCTTGGTCTCGGGTTGGCTCGGGGTTAATTTTTTGTTAACTTTTATAATTTTAATAAATATCGAAGTTTTATTGTTTGGAGTTAGTTTTTATAGTTTTATTTGACTTCCTTATGAGTAGTTAATATGGCAATAAGAAAGATCAAATTCATTAGTATTTTTTCATTACGAGTAGTTAATAGGGAAACTTACACAAATGTCCAAAATAAGTCTCAACTTACCAACCTCTAGCCATTAGTCATAGACTTACCAAAATTAGTCAAGTACATATAAAAATTAGAAAATCAAATAAATAAGGTTCTTTCTCTCAAAGAACCACATGCAAAAATTATCTTCCATATTTTTAAGCGTGATTAGCAACATTAGGTGCAAGATGGAAAGGAAATTTTATGGATGAGGTAGCAAATAAGGTAATAAAATATAAAAATAATATATACAATATTCCAAAAATCTAATAAAAAAGGAAACTTTTTCAATGGCTATAGTTGAAATTCATTGAAAACATATAGATAAGTCAATATACAAAATTTGAGGAAGATTGGAGGTGATTTGGACTGGTTTTGTATCAAAATTCGTAATTAAATCGAGTTAAAAAAATTCTTCTGCGACACATGTATCAAACATGTATCACGCATGTATCTCACACACATGGATATACATGTGATACACAATTGATACAAATATGCTACATATGTGATACACAAATGATACACAGTGTGATACATATATCATTTTTTTCATGTTCAGTTTTTACTTCGAATTTTCAATTCAAACCACCTCAAAACTTCACCAAATCATCCCAAAACTGAGATTCAAGCTCCTTAAGATGTACTCAATCTATTCTAATAACACCACTCAAAAGAAAGCAAAATTTTGACATATTTTTTGCTACAAATAGCTAATTGGCTAATATTAGTAATATTTGGCTAATATTAGTAATATTTTATGAATTGATCAATTTTTGTAATGAGCTACTTATAAATGGACATAGCTGGTAGTTTCCCTAGTTAATAGGGGAATAAGAAAGATCAAATTCATTTATATTAACCGCAATAGGGGGTGTTAATGAATATTTTAAAACCGATTAAACCGACCGAACCGATTTTTAGGTTTGTTTTAATAAAACCATAAGTTTTTATATAAATTTATAACCGCACCGAATAAATTTAGATGTAAAAAATATATTTATATATTAATTTTAAAAATAATAAAATATTAAATTTTTTCTTGGTCTTGGAATTATGAAAACAGTTACAAGCCAAGAAGTAATAAAACTCAAAATTCTAATTTCTAAACCTATTATGCTACTCCTATTGAAAGTAAATTATTTCCAACATATTCAATAGCAAGCTAAGACACAAGTTATTGTAGCGATTATGAGTAGCAAACGACAATGTATTGAATATGTTTCCTTTCGTATGATTTAGATTTATCTTTTTGAATATTCAATTTTCTATAGACTTTATCATTGAGTCTCAGTCCCACCTTGGTTAATATCTTTCCACTCGTGTGATTTATATTTTCTTTGTATTAATTTGCTTAGTTTCTTTTACGCTGATGTGGAATAGTTGATGGATCTATACTCTAGCCATCTTTCATATTTTCTTAATACATCACCCTTTCAAATGTAGAAATGTTAAGAAAGTTTTGCTAAGTCTTATAAAAGTACGTATGTTATTGTATTCTACTCATACTAGTGACTTTTATATCACATTTAAAAAAAATACCAAAAATTAACCGAACCGTACCGTACCGAAGAGAAACCGATATGGTTAGGACGGTTTTTAAAAGTCCAATTTTGGTTATACATAATAAAATAACCGAAAAATTGGTGTGGTACGAATTTTACAAGATAACCGGTCGAACCGAACCATTTACACCCCTAAACCGCAAGACGCACATATTATCTATTACAAATGTTCTTTTAGTTATTAATTTCTGATCACACGGATCAATTAGTATAAACTTTTTAAAACTCAAATAAATATTATTATAATATGTGTGATGTATGAAATAAAATATAAATTGGGGTATTATCACTTTTAGTCTGCGCCAGAAATTATTTATATTTGCTAGCCGAAAAAGTGTATAAAATTTATATATNTTTCACTTCAATATTTGAGTAAGTTGAAAAACGAAGAAGCTTTTGGGCCTAAATGGTCTAAACTGTTGTCAGATAAGCTCAATGCAAGTACAGAAACAAAAAGGAAAATAACATTGTATAGCCAATTTTAAAATAATAATATCTTTTTGTAGATATAGACATTATAAAAAATATATAAATTTTAGATACTTTTTTTAACTATCGGATATAAATAGTTTTGATCACGGGCTAAAAATATTCTTTGCCCGAAACGAAACAAGCCCATGATTGGGCTTTGGTTGTCCACTATTATTGACCACGGACTAGCTTAATACAAAATATTTTTTTCGACATTTTGAATATGTTATATTTAACTTAATTCTCCTAATAAATAATTTCGACCCAGGTTAAAAGTGATCTTTGGACAAATAAAGTGTTATTGGGTTACAACTTACATAGTCAGGCATAACAAACTTATCTACGGCTTTTGACTCTTGATGGAGCATTACCATCTCCATTTTCAAATATAACTCAGAATATTAAAGCATGTACATAATTGATGTTATGGGATTCAGTAAAATATCATCCAATATATTTGGGTCAACTTAATATGTAGATATCAAAACTTTAGATAAATATTTCTACAAAAAAAAAAAAAAACAATAAGTAAGCGAAAATTTGAAACAAAAGAAATTTTTCGTTTGACGTACAAAAGTTCTACTTATATATATTTGTTATTTCGGTTTAGCTTGATCATTAGTTAATAAGAAGTTAAAAGTATATCTTTGGTTGCCAGAAAGAATACGGTAGATTCTACTTATATATTTGTTGTTTCTGGTTCGCTTGATCATTAGTTAATGAGAAGTTAAGAGTACATCTTTGCTTGCCAGAAAAAGTACGATTCCATTTGTAGACCGGGACTTCAATCACTCACCAACTCACCTATCATCAAATCACCAACTTCCTTAATCTAACGACATTGGACAATGTCAGCTTGGATATATGAAATTTCTTGCTTGCAATAAAATTAAGAAAATTTCTAATGATAATAATTAATATTAGGTTGGCAACATCTGTAAAAAGAACTAAACAAAAATAAAGGGGTTGGGGTGGAGAAATACTTGTATTGGGAGAGCACAACCAACTTGAAAATTACAACATATCCCGTATAATTCCGCAACTTGAAAATTATGAATATAATAAAAGAATGAACAAATATTAAAGAACAAATCAATCATTTGTTTATACATATTTATATCTGTAATAAAAAAAAATTATACAAATCAACATGGTTGAGAAGTAACCAAAGAAAAAAGAGTACCCCTGAATGGTTATCTATTAACAGAAACCATCACCTTAAGAAACTGAGCCTGCAAAAGGAGAGTTGATTTCCAAAGAGGATTACAAAAAATAAAGAATGTTTTCTTTCTGAAAGAATAATAAATATATAGTATGTGTTACAAACTATGTTGTCCGGATTCTCCAAAATGCCGTCAATTATGTCCAAGATCCATCAAAAGTAATGCCTTTTTTGAAGATTCGACATGTGTGCGGCGACATTTTGAAGGATCCAAGCAACATAGGTTAAAAATCAGCTATAGGAAGAAAAAGGGTATCTTTCATGCTCAAACCAGGGTATTTTTTTGGTCATCACTGCAAGTGAATAAAAGAATGTATAGTAGGGTTAGAGTGCTTCCCCTGATTCGAGGGTCTATCAGAAACAACCTCTCTACCTTCACAAGATAGAGGTAAGGCTGCGTACACACTACCCTCCCCCAGATCCTACTTGTGTGATTACACCGGGTTTGTTATTGTCGTTGTTGTTATATAGTAGGGCTAGAGCTTTGTCAACCAAGTTTTAGAAGTATGAATCTTGATCATCATGGCAAAGTTCCTTCCTAAGTTTTTGAGAGAAAAGCCTACAAGCATCCATACTAAGATCAATGGCAGCTGAAAGAGCGATAAATAAAGCAGCATCAGCCATACATTTTACATGTTGCACCCCAACTTGAACCGTCGGAACACTGGTCTTGCCTTCACCTTCCACAGTTGACACCATCACAAATCCGCGAATTGGCGAATTTGAGCTCAGTACAGAGTCTTTCACTGTATTGTCAATGCAAAATTGTCCACCTTTTTTCATGCTCATTGTGCCTTCAGCTATTGGTATAGCAGCACTAGTAAGGCCAGTATCAGTAACAAGTTCAAATTTGAAACCAAGTCCATCAACTGGTCCTCTTTCTCTCCATGCCTCGAGTCGACCCCATGGCTTCCAGCTACTAACAGAAGCACCATTTGGCCTGAGGATGAGCCATGCACCGGCGTTTGATCGCGAAACGCGATCAGAACCCGGTGATGGTACAAATGGTGTGATCATTGATGCTGCTGCAACAGCAGATCCTGAAAGGTCATAGATTATTATCATCCACCCTTTTCTTTCCTTTCCTGTTCTGTCCTTTTCTCCAGAAAATGTTCTCATCCAACCTCTATTGTTTAAGTTAAAATCAGATGGAAGAGATCTGTACAGACACAACAGAGAGAAAAACTCAGCTTAGAGACCACTTAAGAACAAAGTTAATAACTAGAACATATTTAAGAGTTAAATTTCTGTGCAATATAGAGTGACAAGTTTATAATTTCTTTATTCCATTAGATTAAGATGACAATATGACATGTAACAACAAGTAGGAGCAGAGCTACAACTGACGAAGGCAGAGGCGGACTCGGAATTTTGAAGGTGGCGACGGCACATGAGTGGACTACCCAACTACTGTCCCCATCAGACTTTTGATCATAAGGGTTTCAAACAAAATATATGACGGTTTTCAACATATAAACACATCGATAATTTTGCCGAGGTTAACGGATTCCGATAACCCCTCTACTCCATACATAGGACCGCCTCTGGACGAAGGATGTTCATTATTTCTGTATTTTATGAGATTAAGATGACATTTAACAACAGATAAAGAACGAAACTTCAGTCGGCGAAAGATGGTCAGTTTATCAGTCAAATAATATTTTTACAAATATGTTAAATCTTAGACACCCTTGGTGAAATTCCTGACTAGACAGTAAGGTAGGTAAATGTTACTTATAACATGATAAAAAACATTGATAGTAAAAAAAATTAAAACAAAAGTCAGTGTATTTAATAAATCCATAAATTGATGCTAAAACAAATGGTGGATTGATAATCGGCTTAATGTATGCATATTTTGATATATACCGCCTCACATTTTGCTCATGTCTCGATGATTTGAGATGTTTAATATGATTATTTGTGGTAAATTTTGGTATTTCTATGTGTAGGGATCATTCGGATGCAATTTGGGACGAAAGGGCGCGAATTGGAGCGAAATCGGGACAAAAAGGCAAAAAGTAAAATTTGAGGGCCACAGCGAGCGTGGGGCGCTGGCTGTGGCGCAATTTACAGCAGCTAAAATATTTGAGCGCCAGGACTAGCGCCCCACGCTGCCCTGGACGCTCAAGATGGGAAAGTGTCCTTTTTCGACTAGGACTCGGTTATTTCGATTCCTAGACGCCCCCAACTCATATAAAAGCCAACATAAACCTATTTTAAAAGAGGGAGGATGTTTTGAGAGAAAAAACACAAGCACAAAGCCGCCGTGGANTGGATCCGAAATAAACAGATAGTCAAAGAAGAATATTAACCAGTTGATGGAGAATTTGGAACCAAATCTTTGCATATGGGAAGGGAATCAATGGTGGTTAACTTTTGTCTGTTGATTAAACTAAATCTGCTGACTGGGAATTATCTAATCTCTGTCATTAATGCATAATCGAACTTGATAAAAAGTTAATTGGTTGGACCGACAATGTGTTATAAGTATAACATAAGGGAATAAAATCGTAAGATATCTTTAATCAGCTTTATAATATCTCTACATGCCAAGGGTCAAGACAAAACCTAATAAAGAATTGTCCATTAAAAAGAACATAATAATTAATCTAGTGTATTAGTAAATGCATGAGATGATTATTATAGCAAACAGTTGTACAAACGACAAGAGGACTAATGGGATCATCACTTGGAAGTCATGGTGTAGATCTAATTGGTATAAGCCTCACCAAAACAAAAATAAAATAAAATAGTACAGTGCAATTTCAACAAACAGTTTGAACTTTGAAGTGATTTTAACTTCTATACACTGTAATAACAACAATATTATACCCAGTATAGTCTTACAAGTGGGGTCTGAAGGTTGAAAGATTGTTTCCAATAGAAACCCGGCTCAAAATAAGTATAACTTCTTTTACACTGACCTTTTAAAAAATATTAAACTATAGATAAATGCAGGTAACTAACTATGTTAAGTAAGTTCACTAACCTGAAAAATTAGTATTTGTTATTCCCTCCGTTCTAATTTGTGTGAACCTGTTTAACTAGGCACGGAGTTTAAGAAAAAATGAAGATTTTTGGAATTTGTGGTCCTAAACAATTTAAAAATAGGCCCAGAGTATTTGTGTGGTTATAAAAGCTTCTCATTAAGGGTAGAATTGTAAGTTTAAGCAAAATTGTTTTCAAATTTAGAAAGGGGTCATTCTTTTTGAAACGGACCAAAAAAAAAATAGGTTCACATAAACTGGAACGAAGGTAGTATAACATATTAAAATGCACCGATACCATAATTTCTTATTACGTTGTTAGCGAGAATAACGTAACGACTATTTAGCCGTATGTACGTTAAATCCTTCCAACAATACCTTCCCCTTAGAATTCCTACCAAGAAATATTTATTCTTTTTATTATTTAATATTGAATTACTTGTTTGTTATCTCAATTCCATGACAGTATACAATGACAAAGCCTTGACAAAATTGACCAAATACTACTATGTGAAAGTAGGATTTACGAAAATATTACAAGAATAGTACTCCTTCTGTCCAAAGACAGTTTAATTATTCGATGGTCCCATATTTTACAGTCCCCACGACAAATTTCCCCAAGAAAGCGTTCTTGTGTCGACCGTAAGTATGGCCAAATATATACTTCTACTTTCGAAAATAATTTAAAAATATTCCTCGCTATACTGTTGGGTTATCTATATTCATGCAGTCATACTTTGAGTTCAAATATACCCCTCGTTTAAACGGAGGGATACATGTTATCGTGCTGGTGGTCAATTCTAAATATCTCCTAATTAATTAAAAAGACTCACTACCCATATCCGATTTTTTTTTTGTTGTAAAAACTGAAAAAAACTTAAATTATTTTTACTAAAAACTAAAAAAAACGAAAATATTTTTTTTTTCCCAGTTTTTACAAAAACACTGCTTTAGAAAAAATTGGAAAATATTTTCTAAAACAATATTTTTGTAAAAACTGAAAAAAAGAAGAAGATGAAAATCAACTTTCTAAAGTAATTTTTTTTGTAAAACTTGGAAAAAACTGAATTGTTTTTACTAAAAACTGAAAAAAATGAAATTTTTTTTTCCAGCTTTAAAAAAAGTTGAAAAATATTTTCTAAAATAATATTTTTGTAAAAACTGAAAAAACCTAAAAAGCAATTTTCTAAAGCAATTTTTTTGTAAAAACTGAAAAAACAAATATTTGCTTTTTTTCAGATTTTAGTTAAAAATATTTCAATTTTTTTCAGTTTTTAATTGCTTTAGAAAATTGCTTTTCAGTTTTTACAAAAATATTGTTTTAGAAAATATTTTTCAGCTTTTTTTAAAGCAGTTTTTTTTGTAAAAACTGAAAAAACAAATATTTGCTTTTTTTCAGATTTTAGTTAAAAATATTTCAATTTTTTTCAGTTTTTAATTGCTTTAGAAAATTGCTTTTCAGTTTTTACAAAAATATTGTTTTAGAAAATATTTTTCAGCTTTTTTTAAAGCAGTTTTTTTTGTAAAAACTGAAAAAAAAAAATCATTTTTTTCAGTTTTTAGTAATTTTTTTAAAAGTTTTTTCCAGTTTTTATAAAAAAAAATATTATTTTTCGGGTATGAGTAATAAGTCTTTTTAATTAATTAAAAGATATTTAGAATTGACCAACAGGACGATGACAAGTGTCCCTCCATTTAAATGAGAGTATATTTGAACATAAAGTATGACTGAAGGGGTATAAATAACCTAATAATATAATGAGGGATATTTTTAGACCATTTTCGAAAATAGAAAGGTATATTTGACCCTTTGACGTAAGTATAAGGATGTTAAGTAAAAAAAGACAAATGAAATAATTTTTGTACACATAACTTCTTTATAAATGACTTAATTATAAAATATTTTACAACCCTTCGGGTTTTACTAGTTGGTTTGGAGTGCGGTCATTCATACGAATGACGTGGGATCGAATCCCCTCAATGTCTTCTGGTACAACCCTGTCGCACGTGGTTTGACCCAGTGGCTACACCAAATAATGTAGCGGATGTGAAAATGATAACTTATAACTGACAATAAAAAACAAAAAAATTACACCAGTATACTTGAACTTATTTTTAGGTTACAAATTCATAATACACTGTTTATAAAACTTAAATGTTCGTGAAAAAACAAAGCAGTAAGTTAAAGTGAATTAGTATAATCTTTATTTTAATATAAGTTTTAAGTTAAATCCAATAAAAAATGCATAGTGTTGAGACGAAGACTTACCGCGAACGATTATTCCGATCAGCACTAAACTTGCAGCTAAAAACCGGCTGACTTCTATTCCCCTGAACCTGAAAAACCACCGGGCTACACTCCGGTTCACCACCAAACTGAAAAACAAACCGCGGGTCCGGTTCAGCTCGAACCACCAAATGTAACATCGCCACCGGTTTTTCTCCCGTACCTAACTTCATCCACCCATTCTGAAACACACGCGCCTCCGTATGCCCCCCAGTAAAATCAACACTCACCTGAACAGAACCAATCAACTTCCCCGAACTAACCCCGCACGTGCGACCCATACGTCCAGTAAAAACAGACACGTGTAAAGTAACCGGTTTGGCTGAGACACGACGGAGAGCGGCAGCGTCGAGGTGGAAACCGGCGGCGACGGCGGAGGAGTCTGGAGGAGAGGAGTCGGTTGAAGCGGGGGAGAGGGGCAGAATGGTAATTTGGGAAGGGAAGTTTTTGAGCTTGAGTTTTGCGTAACAGGGAGTTGTGGAAGGGTGGATTACGTGATGACCAGATGGTTTAGTTGCTGCTAATGGTAGTTTAAGAGCTAATGATTCGATTATTAAACGAACAAAAGGACATGGATCCATTGTAATTAACTTGTTTTCTTGTTTAATTCTGTTTCTTTGGTTTAGTGAACAGAAGTTTGAGGAGAGGAGTAGATGAAAATGGCAATAGTAGTATGGAGCTTGGGAAACATCTATGTTTTCTGCGGTGGATGCATATAAAGTTATATATTTGCAAATTCCCCCACGCCCCCGCTCCCCCAACAACACCCAACCCACTCACCCTGGCTTCTTGTATCTAATTTTTTTAATTTAAGTTGATTAAAATTATTTGTAATCGTATATATCGTCTACTATTAGTCACGATATGATTTTCATATCACAACGTACTCTATTAGTATTGTTACTGTTTTTCAATATTATTATTCTCTTTGTTTTGGTTATCTTACTATTGTTACTATAGATACTTTCTTTTTTTCAGCATTTTAATTATAGAGTCTTTATTCTTGTATTTTTTAAATTTGTTTTGAAAATAAATTTTTTAAGTCGAGTGTCTATCAAAAATAAAATATCTCACACGAAATAGGGCTACAGTCTATATATACTTTACCTTTCACAGACTTCACCCGTGGGATTATATTATGTATGTTGTTGTTGTTATTGTTGTCGTCTTTGTTGTTGTAATGTAGTCTATTACGGTACTATAAACAAGTCACAAACCTCTGAATTTTGTACTTTTCAATATGGTATGACATTTACGTGGTTATAAAATATTAAAAATTTATAGTATTAAATATTTGTGTGACAATAAAAATTTGCCATTAAGTATAAAATGCAAATCGTTTCCAAATTTAAAAAGAGATTATTATTTTCTATACATATCAAAAAAGAAAATTGGGTCACATAAGTTGAAATTGATGAAGTTATATTTTCAATGTTGTCAAAGTGATTGATACAGTAGTATTTTTATGATAAATATTTACTTTCACCCGATATTTACACCAAACAACATTAACTTAGCATGATTAAGTAATTTAGCCCTTTATATTTTAGTTTGCTAAAGTTATAGAGCTTAATTGAACATTCACACTCCCCAAAAAAACATGCCTTAGCTTTATTTCACTTTATCTATCTTTTGCTTGTATTTAATCGGATTATCTTGGAAAAGGTTGACAACAACATTAATTTGATTGTGGTAGCTACTAGTTATAATATAAAGTACAAATTGGAAATTTGAGCACCAAACGAATCGGCGCATTATAAGGATCATGAATATTGTTCCTATAATACCAATAATTAAAAGTAAATAATGGTTTCTCAACACACATAAGTTATTCTAAGATCACAATAATTAAAATTGAGAAAGTTTATTTAGAGATTCTTCCAAATATAAATGATTATATAGCAACTGCGCAAGTATCTAGTGAAGATATGGAATGTATCTTCATAGCATTTGATTTTTGACTAAATAATTTAGTCCTCAAATTAATAATAGCTAATGATTAATTTTCTCTAGAGTCTCAACGATTCTCCACCAAAAAACAGTTGGTAAAACATAGAATTATGATATTGGGCATTATTTTAAAAATGCACAGCAGTTCAATCATTGTTTTTGCACAAAAAAATTAATGACATTTGAATAACTAATTGAACAAATTTTCCTTAGTAGTACAAGAACTATACTTATAAGAAGACGTTTGTACTCGAGTACTAATCCTTAATTTCTTATACCTTAAGCTTAGGGGTCTAATTATATTATCTTAAACTTAAAGATCTAATTGGCATTCGAATAATTCATAGAGTGGCCACGAATACCATATTACCATAATTGTGGCGGCATTAAATAAATACTACATTTGAAAAAAAAAAGAATTGCTGAAGTTTAAAAACAATTTATTGGTATTATATATAATAATAATCTCCACATAAAATTCAACATTAACTTATTACAACATTTGATTGCTAATTTTGTTTTCCTCATAAAACGAACCCTCATGATAGCAAACGTATCAAACTGAATATTCAACAAAATAATTCATATATTATAATGTTATTATTACTAATCTTTACATTACTTATCCTTGCATTACAATCGTGAATTATAAATACCATAGACAGAACTATCCTTGTTCAAGGAGAATTAATTGCTACCCTTCGCCAAATAATAATATTTACATTCTTAAATTCTCGTCGACCAAATAACATGAAAGATCATTCCATTATATGACATAATATATTTTTTTTCAGAAATTGTTTTCAAGATTTTTGCTCTTGTTTTGTATATATTGATGAGTTCTGAAATTGACGATAATTTGCAGAGGAAACGGACATGAAATTGAAGTCCCCTTTGGTCTTTAGTTATAGGTCCCATAACAGTTTGGCAAAGGTTGTCACCAACTTTTTTTCTTAACTAGTCTTAGAACTGAAATCCTTTTTTTTTTCTTCTTCTTTCAGTTTGGCCGTTAGATATTTAACGGAAAAGTTTATGACGTGTCATTTGTGTGCAAGCTCAGATTATCCGAATTTTTTGACGGCTGTTAAGCGGCGGCTCTATCAATAATTCTAAATCAATTATATGAAAAAAATAAAATGATAAATCGGTGCACTAAACTCTTGTTATTATTCTTGGGTTTCGGAAATGGCCTGAACATATAAGTCTTATGCATGCAATCTTATTTTTATCGTTAGATTGTATTCGCGACTTGAACTCGTTACTTTATGATCACATGACGATAATTTTTATCGTTGCACTAAAATTTAGGGGCGTATATACCGCCAAAACTCCAGGGGCATATACACCTTGTCCTATGTGGTATCACGAGTCGTCGAAATCTTTTACTAGATATGCATAAAATATTAAAAATATTAAAGATAAAATAAAAAATGACATCGCTTATAACTTAAATAATTTATATATTTATGAAAAATTCTGGGTAAGCCGCCGCAAAACTCCTTTCCCATTATATGACCAGAATAATTAGCGATTATTATTTTTTGGGTTAATATTAGGACATCAGCACTTTAGTCTATGTCTAGTGACTTAGGCACAGCTATTTTGCAACAATAAGATTTGTTTTGTCATAATGAAACTATAGAGACTTTTTTGTTCAATCTCTTACCAAATCTTGCTAATTAAGACCCTTTACCACCAACCATATATACTAGCTTTATGCTAATCATTCACAGTTGTTATTTAGCATTTTTTTCCTATTTACAACTGTTATTTGATAATGACATTGTCACTTTGCTACCTTACTATATTTCTTAATGCATCTCTTTTATAGTGCATTTGTTAGTTTAGTTTGTACGTATTTTGCTTATTTCAGTAAGCAAAATACTGATATCTTTCAGTAACACAGGCGGTAGTCATAGTGATCAGAGGCGGACGTACTTAGAATTCTAAATTTATGGATTCTTAAGTAAATCTCAAATTAATATACAATAATAACTGGATTAACGGATTGGATTCCAAGCAAAATATTCTTATACATTTAATGAATTTTTCATTAAAAATACCGGATCTAGACAAAAGCTACTAGGTTCACGGGAACCCGTAGCTAATGCACTATATTTGCTCCTAATAGTGATCCTCATATTTAACTACTTTGACCATTTTCGAGCACCTATATCTTTTTCGGAGCGTTCATCATTTAAACATAGACATCTAAAAATAAATTACCTAATATTTTTTTGTTCGTTGAAATTTGAATATAACAACATATCCAGTATTATTCCATACCGTGAGGTCTGGAGAAGGTAGTGTATACGCAAACCTTATGCCTATCTTGTGAGGGTAAAGAGACTATTTCCAATAGTCCGTCGAAATTTGAATATTCAAGCATAATTTTCGGTCATTTTATTTTGCAGGAATTTGAATGCACTTTTTCTTTTCTCTTCTATTTCTCTTTATCACCCTTTTCTAATTTTCCCCCCCAATCCTTTGTCCCTTTGGACCCATCCAGTTGTCTTTGGAAGATGACCTATCATTTTGCAGCATAATGTTTGTGTAGGAANCCATTGGGCTGGGGTCCAAGGACTATTTTGTCTTTTTATATTTCAGATTTGGGTAGGCAAACAACTTCCTGGTATCCCACTCAATTATGGTTGTTGTATTGACACGTTATCAAGCTATATATATATATATATATTCGCACACATAATCAATGGTAAATTTGTTTTTGTATGACCTATAAGTTACGGGTTCGAATCGTGAAAACAGCCATTAATGCTTGCATTATGATATGCTGTCTACATCATATATCTTAGGGTACGATTCTTCTCGAACCCTGCACATATGTAATGCGTTGTGCACCTGACTGCACAGAGACACGATCAACTAGTATGTTTTCCTGATGGCAGTTAAATAGGTTTAGTGTGATTTGACTCACAATGCTAGCTAGGCCAGCATATATTCTCCCATTAAAATTTCTGTGAAGTATATAGTTTGATTCAGCATAGAGTTAAAAAGAGAGAAAGATCTCTAGATGTAAGTTTAAGTGTATAGCGAGGGACATATCCTACGTTTGTAATGTTATAGCATTACGTGGAATTAGAACGGCTTTACAAAAGCTTTTGTTTCAATGAAAAAAAGTTAGTTGTCAAAAAATATATTTGTGCGACTACAAGTTACTTTAGTGGTGAACACCTTTCACTTCCAATCAAGAGGTTGTGAGTTCGAGTCACCCCAAGAGCAAGGTGGAGAGTTCTTGGAGAGAGGGAGCCGAGGGTCTATCGGAAGCATCCTCTCTACCCTAGGGTAAGGGTAAGGTCTGCGTACACACTACACTCCTCAAACCCCACTAGTGGAGTTATACTTGGTTGTTGTTTCCTTTCATTAGATTTTTGTTTTGGTCCACTAGAGCATCTCATTTTTAAATGAAGAGAAAAATTCAGCTAGTGCATGTTAAAAACATTTATGAAGGAAAATATTATATTAAGTAGTCCATAGTGTTAAATTGAGTCCATATATGAGTTACTAAAAAACTTGGTTCTTTACCGTATTCCTTAAATGTGAAGTAAAATAAGCACTAAAATAAACACAATGATTTTTACGTGAAAATTCACCCGGCTCAAAAGGTGCAAAAATCACGACCTACTATGTAGGCTTTTCAACTCCACTAGAACAATAAGCCAAAATGTATCAATTACAAGACGGTAATTCAATACTCTCTAGTACTCCTATTACGACTATTTGATTTACAAGTTACTC